ATATTTTAGAACACATTTATAATATTTATGTTTATTAGTGTAGAGTTATGTTAGTGAACTAAGGGTGACGTCAAATTTTAAGTTATAATAGCACTGCAAAATTTCGAATGAGGACTAGTGTGAGACAGTATGATATGAATTGCAATAAGTTCCTATCACGGCTAGACTCGCAAATTGCCCGTAAACTCTGAGTATTATTCTACATAGGCCATATATATATCGATTAGTGTATGTCTTTAATGGGCCTCCGTACAAAAAGTAAGGGAGACAGCAACTTAGTGATTTGATATTTCGAATGAGGACTAGTATGAGATAGTATGAATTTCAAAATGTTCCTATGACGGCTAAGCCTTTTAATTTGCTGTTTAACTTTGGTAATTTTCAGCTTCCATAAAAAAAATATTTAATTTAAATGGGCCATAGTACAAAGACTAAGAGAGTTGGACATATAGGTGTTTGCAACATTGAAAGAATTCATATTATTGTTATTAGCATGTTTCACTTAGGGCAGTCATTCTTGGATAATCCTATAAGATTTTGCAGATTTGTAAGAAGCACGACTGTAAAGCAGGGAAAAACAGTTAATCTGATCTTGCAGACTAGAAAATAGTCAATTTAATAATAATATATCATTTATTAATGAAAATTCACACATAAATAATAAGAGTTACACAGCAGGTAGGATAAAAGATTTGAACTTTAGGGAAGAACGCACCTTCACAATGGTCGATGTATTACTTCATCTTATACCATGACTGCAATGTCCATTTTCTTGTTTCATGGTCAGCAATTTCATTTGATTGTATGTAAGCGAATACAGCCAAGCAGAGCCCTCGATTTCGTGCATAATTATTTTTTAGTCTTTCTGTCAAGGGTTTAGATTGGCTGTATTCACTGGCATACAATCAAATCAAATTGCTGCATTCACAAACTTCTGTTAAGAAGAAAGTGGACCATTGTAGTCAAGGTATAAAATGAAGAAGCAATAACTTGACCATTGTGAAGATTGTGGTTTAAAATTTTAGGGTTAACAAGGGGGTACATTTCTTTCTTCAGGAGTTGAAATTCTACTTGTATTCGATATTCAGAGATTCAGGCCTCTGTTTCTTAAAAAATAATAAAATACATTTATTGTAAGTGGAGAATTTCAATTAAAAATTCCCCATTAACAACAAAAATTAATAGAATGAGAAACACGGCCCATTAAACAATCTTGCAATTTTTATTTAAGTTTGTTTGCCTAATTTCTCACGACAAAAATTAATAACAAGATTTTTAAGAAAATGGCTCCACATGGGACAGAGAGAAATGCTATGAGGGTAAGGACTCAAAATACTTGGCAAGATCAACTGAAAATGTTACAAATATTTTGCAAAATAAAATCCACTTATAACACTCCAACCCAAAATAGTTCTTGCAAATTTCCCAATAAAAGAAAACAAAATGACAGAATTAGCACTTTTCATTGCATAAATAACAACCTTCAGTGGAAAAAGTAGTTTGCTACAAGATATAATACAGAAAAGTTTGAGAAATCTAAACAGTTTTAGTCCAAATGATTTAATATTGATCTTATTATGTTATGTATTTATACATATTCATCAGTTCTACTGATTGCCAGTTTTTCTAAGAA